AAATTTTAGAAATATATTTTTTTTTAATTTTAACTCGTACTTTTTGAGTTACTTCAAAAATGTTTGTTCTAAACAATGGAATATTCACTATTGAATTAAGTATAACATTAAAACTTTGACTTAGTTGTAGTAGTATTTATTTCACTTCTTTAACAAAAAAAGAAAATCTTAATTCTTACATCTCTTTCTCATAGAAAATATATTTATATACCATTTTGTTTTCACCTATGCAATAATTTGCTAATTTGTAGAAAAGGGTTGTGCTTTGCTTTACTAAGTACCAATTTTAACCTTAATTATAGTATCATGCACTTATTGACTTCAATTTTATGATGGTTGTTTGTTTTTGTAATTCCCCTATGCTATTGATAAGTTTTTAACCACTTTTTGCGTAAAAAAATACTGAATAAAAACTACCATATTTTACCAAAATCACCATTAGTAATTTACGTGTTTTTGTTAGTTTCACCAAACCCCTCTCAATGCTCTTTATGCAAAGCACATGGACCACTAACTCTTTTCTCAACTAGTTTTCTCGAGTTTGATGTGAAATTGATCAATCTAAGTCTCAATTCCAGCTACATGGCGTCACTTGCATAGAGATTTGTGATTTTTGGGATTGTATATATTTCTTCTTCCCTTGTAATGTTCAATAAAATGCCAAGGACATGGTGATATTGTCCTCCTTTATTGGAAAATTTCTAAAGATTTATCAATGAAAATTTTCTATTTGCTTTGTAAAAATCAAATATAAGCCAAAATGAATAATTTTTTATTTTTTATTTTTTAATTTAAGCAAGTCAAAAGACTCGTTCAATGCATAAATCAAATTAAGTATAATTACACAAATTTATTTAATATTAGGTCATGACCTATTCAGTCAAAGACCATAAAATTCATGAAATCAATGTCTAATATTAATTTAATAATTATTAAAATTTGTGATTTATTACATCAAAATCTAATATGAAATGCACGAGATGCACACATCTTTTATTTTGTAACAGTTCACATGTGCTAGTACTACCTGTCTGTTGGTGGCATGTACTATGCCATTTCAAATGATTGTTATGCACGATAGAGGTGTTCCATCCGAATCAAATCGTTTAAATCGGTAAAATTATGATTTAGTTTAGTGCAGTTTAAGTTAAAAAAGAATTTTTTTTATACAATTTGTTTAATATTTAACATTTAAACAAATCACATAAACCAAATCAAATCAAACCAAACTATATAGTTTATGTATATAAAATATTAAAAATTCTATTTCTATATAAATAATATATTTTTATTATTTGATTGTATATTTTTTCATTTTATTATCTTTTATATTTATATTCAATGAAATTTTGTAATACTGTATAAATATATTTATTATATAATATATAACTACTGTAGTTAATTGATAAATAAAAAATTTGTTAAGTTAAATAAGTTGAAAAAAAAGGAATGACTAATTTTTTGGAAAATTTTGTTAAAATCTTTATAAAAGTAGTAAATTTAATCCATTTTATTTTACAAATTAAAGTTTGAAACTGAACCAAACTATAAACCGTGATTCGGTTTAGTTTATAAAATTTACAAATTATAAAATATGATTTGATTTAAATTTAAATATTAAACCGAATCAAACTAAATCAAACCATGAACACCTTTAATTCGCGATGCATGCATTGTTATCCCATTTCCATCCACACTGGTAGTTCATTGCATTTGCCAAATATATCAAAATTGAGGGCAAGAAGAGGTCTTCAATTATTTCTTATTCAATTGAAAACCTAGCTAGCTAAGTTGGGTTGTAGAGTTTGTGTCATGGGTGGGATGTTTGGAACCGCACAAACTTAGGATTTTTGGTTTGCCAGCATTGAGCTTAATTTAATGTTTAACAACCAACAGCTTGTTTGAAAAGGAGGTTTAAGGGCCAAAACCCTGATATAGGAACGAGAATGGGAACTTACACCTCCTGAGGTGATGACAATTTGATTTTTCATTTTTTTAATAAAATTATATTATATTAATTATTTTACTTTTTTTAGTATTAAAATCAAAATCATGCATTTTGATACTAGTGCTGTTACTTTGTTTTTATTTTGTTTTAGTACGATTCAATATAGTTTTTGAATCATGTTAAATATTTAAGTAAACTAATAAAATTTCTATAAAATCACATAAAAAATTTTCTTTTAATATATAATCAACACAAAAAATCAAATTATTTTAAAATTATATAATATTAATAATTTCTTACATTTAAGGATTAATTTCAAAACTTTCATTAATAAACATTTATATTCTCAATCTCATAATGTATTAGAAATAAGTTCAAAATTGTATGAAAATAAATGAAAAAGTTAATTTTGTTTAATCAAATTTAATATGAAACTTTTAATCAATTTAATTAAAAACTTGTCATTAATAAAGGATTTAATTAATTTATATATAATATAAATACTTTAATTAATAACTTATAATCCAAGTATTTAAAAGTTTAATAATTTTATATATAATATAAATATTAAATAAATTAGTGTGTATAATATATTGGTATGGTATACTTTAAACTTTAATTTTATTTTTTTAAAAATATGTATTTATTATTTTATACTTAATTTTTTTGTTGATAGTTGATATATAAAATTTAAAAAATTGAAGTTCAATTCTCAACTATTTGTATTTATTTAGCAATGGTAATTTTTTTAACTTAAGGCTTTTTATGGAAAAAAAAAAAGTTTAATACTTGGTTCAAATTCCATTACATGTAATTTTTCATTTATTTTTTTAAAACTATTTTTTTGGATTTGTTAAGTGAAATTTTTTACTTATTTATAGTGGACAAGTGTATTTAAGAAGTCTCTCTCTTTTTTTTTTTTTAAAGTTAGGACTTTTGATGTACTAGATAATTTATAAAATTTAAATTGGGTGATAAATTAATAAGCGATTCACTGCATTATAACATAAATTTGATAATAAAAAAAAAGATTGATCACATTCTTTAATAGATGTACAAAAGTTAAAAACTTGTTGTAAGAGCACAAAATATATATTAAAATTCTTTTTACACTTTAATCCATAATATTTATACTTATTTTTCATAAATCTTTTAATTTCTTTAATTTATTAATAATATAATTAATATTTAAGAATTTAATCATTTCGTATATGATATAAATAATATAATAAATTATTATATATAATACTCAGTTTGGTATAGTTTTTATATCAATTTTAAATTTATAAAACAAAAATTGTACTAAAATATTTGGTAAAGTATTACTTAATACAAAACCTATAAACGTTTTTAAAAAAACTTAACTTTTGGTACAGTACGATTTATTTATGTTCAATTTGGTAAAATTTTAATAACCATGAACAACCCTAACACCCCCTCAAATTTTTGTAAGTAAAAATTTATATTATGAAATTTTTATAGAATGCCCTCTTAATTTTTTATTTTGCAGCTGTGGAAAAACTTGTACGAATGAATTAAGAATATACAAATAAATTTAAAATATATCAAAAGCTTAAAGAGTCAATTAAGAATTTAAAATAAATTTAAAACAATGTTAAGGAATTATTATAAAATGACAGATGAATTTCTAATGATCAAAAAGTACAAATGATAATGGGATCTACAACAGTGAAAGATCAAGTAAGAAGATATTTTGTGACATACTTTATACTCACTACTATTAAGGTTTTGACCCTATCATTGCCTAATTTCTCCTTTTTTTTTTTTTGATACAGTAAAGATTTAAGTTAATCAAAAATTTAACTTAAGAGAGAGGCTAAGATTAAAAGTCAAACCCATAATTTCAAATGAATCTCCCAAATATCACATCACATTGGTTAAACTTGAGTTCAGATTTCTCCTATTCTTTGATGCCCGTGTAAGCGGTTTGTAAGGTTTCTCCTCTGAGGATGGTTTAAATACAATCTTCTTTATTTAAAGGTTATATTTAAAGAATAACTTTAGCTAGTCCTGATTCCAAACATCAACATAATAAAGAAACTAATACAAAAAAATAAAAATAAAAAGTTGTAATATCAACCGTAACAGAAACTATTTTTCTTCGAATAAAAAAACTTTAATTTTAAAAATCTTAAAACCAAGCAACCTTTTACACTATTTACGTCTTATTATTATTATTATTGTTATTATTATTATAGTGGACCCCAGTATTGAACTCCCTATAAATATTTGAAGAAATAAAACGCAGGGGAATGACCCCAAGTAGAATAAATGAAATTCAAGGCTAGATCATGCGTGGGTTTGGACAAGTACAACTGAACGGGCGAAAATATATCGTACCATGAGATTTTTGATGCATCCCCACCCAAGATCTCCGTGGCCCATGGGCCGTGTCAGCCCAAAGCTCAATCACCAACTTTCACCACTGTCCATTTTGTGCTCCGTTTTGGGAGCAATGGACACCCCGCTCTGCAGGTTAAGCTGGACTACTATAACATGACTTATTAGCTTATTTTTTTTCTGACTTTTAGGGATAACCAAAGTTATGTTGATCTTTAATAGCTGGTAAAAATAATAAATAAATAAATAACAACCATTTTACAGAAATGGTTGTGCCAAATAAGCGCATGATATTAGAATGTAAAAAATTGACGTATTATGTAACTTTCAAGTTACTCTTAAATAAATGATAAAAACAGCACACTCAATTATTCTTACTGACCTGTGAAGAAAGATTTGGAAGTGATTTGTTCCCGTTTTCAATCATTCTCCATTTTTTTTAATTGAAGATACAAGGATTTTCATTTAGGTGTTCGGAGAAGAGGAGTATCCTTGTTAGCTGGTTGCTCCCTATAGAAGGTTGGCACTTTTAGGTGTAACACTGCGAAGTCAGGATGTGGTGGCTTGCTCGGAGATGATGAGGGTAATTGGATTAGGGGGCTTATTGGGAGCCTTGGTGACGTGTTTGTCTCTTGGCTTAGACCTGTTATCTTTGGGAGGAGCTGAAGATGGTGTACAATCTATATATAAGATGGGTTATCTTAGATTTAGATTTCAAAAGTCTTATTGATATAACCTCTGGCAGAACGAACTTTAATACTGAATTGATTTTTGTTATTGAGAGACCCAAGAGCTTCCTTCTTGTATGGTATTGAGCTTAGGTCATTCATATTAGTACAAAAAAACAATAGGTATGCAGATTTTATGACTAAATCCAGTTTTGCTCTTGTTTTGGAATAAAAAACATGTGCTTTTTCTCTTGTTAATATGAGAGTCCTCTTCTATCGAGATAGATCAGGAGTTCCCAATTTTAGTTAATTTTTATTTTGATTTTAGGCCTCTTTCAAATCAAATATATATAAAAAAATAGTTCAAGTCTACTCTTAGATTAATGTACTAAAGATTAAATCTCAGAAATGTGAAAACTTTAATTTAAAAGTGTCATTTACAAGTCTGGGTCGGGCCTAATTTAATAAGCCTAATAAGTGGACTTGAGGTCCACTACTTGACCCAACATAAGTTAAACAATAGTAGAACTATGGTTTCATCTTTGGATCCAACAAGTTGAACATTATGTCGCTTAGCCTGGTTGAGTTTGATTCAATAGATATTCCAGGTGACAAAGGTAGGAGTACTTGTAAAGGTGAAGTTCTACTGTACCATTATTTCATATTTTAGGTTTTACAGTTAGGATTGTGCCATGGTGGCAAGTGAAAATCTCTTGGTCTTTTTAGACTTCAACTACGTATCCAATCATAAATAGTGTTTTTGAAAGAAATTCAGAAATTTCTGGGATTGCTTCAACGGATAGGGTGTTGGCATATAAGTCAAATATGCCATGATCAAACCAATGGATAAGTGCCACGTAGCAACGCAGGTGGCATGTGAGACCAAATGCAGCATAAACGAGGAGCACAAAAAGATTTCTATCATAAAGAATAAATAAATATTTTTGGAGCAAAAATACGAAAACTTATAACATTACGCACATAACTGATAATTAAAATTAATAAAAAAATATTAATTTCATTGTTCCAATAGATTACTATCATCCCTGAAAATGAAATAGTAATCATGGGCTTGGATAATTAAAAAAATGGATTAGATGGGCTTAGCTTCAATGGCCCAATCACATGCAACCCATTAACGGGCTTTCGGATCCATGTCCGGGTCATCGTTTTGCTCATCTCTGTTCCAAAAAAATTGAACAATTACTTCCACGTCAATTTCCTCCCCGCGGACGACTAGGGGAATCGGCTTCTCCTAATAAGCAAGCTTTAGAGTCCTCTGCGAGGTCAACCGAATCGATGAAGTACCATAGATTTTTGTCGATTCCGGTTCTCGTAGTGCTTGCCACAGTGGGTTCTATTTACTACGTCACCGTCTTCATTTTCCTTGAAGATTGGTTAGGTTTGCAGAGCTCGGCAGGTTCACTCAACGCTCTGATCTTCACATTCTTGGCTTCTCTTTGTTTCGTGTCCTTCTTCGCCTGCGTTCTCACAGATCCAGGCGGCGTCCCGTCTTCCTACGTGCCCGATGTTGAAGACCATGCAACTTCAGATCAACAGCCTATCAAGACTGTAAGTTTTTGCAATAAAATTTCTGCTTATTCCTTTTCCAACCTTGAAGTTGTCGGAACCCATGTTTTTAGTGTAATTGAGTACATTGTTGTAATAATCCGGAACATTTTTCTCTCAATAGTACATTAAATGTTTGTTATGTAGTAAATTTTTTTGTTTATTTGTCATGCATAGTTTTTTGATTTGCCAGGGGATTGAAAATTGTAATGTTATATATGGCCAATTTGTTGGTTATTGGTTTGAATAACTTTCACCATTAATTATGCGCTTAGGGCCTATAAAAACTGTAAATTTCATATCTACTTCTACCTGAATCTTATGATACCTTCTGCTGAGTCTATCGCTTGAGTAAAATAAAATGGTTCTGAATCTGCTTCTGTATTTTGTTGGCAACAAATAGAAATGTTCACTGACACGCAAGAAGGTGCATAATAGCATGGCAAAGGTTTTATATGAAATGAATTGGTGTATTGTTGAGTCTCTCTAACCCGGAAAGAAGTAGTAAAATCCAACAGCGAAATTCTCCCCTAGCAATAAAAAGAAAGCTTTTTTCTTAGGTAGGGCAGGTAATGACTGGTAGTTTTTTTTGTCCCCCTTCCCTTCTATTCTTATGACATTGAGAAAAAAAAGGTGAAACCAAAGTTGCATGACTTTGTTTATTATTATATATTTTACAAATGAAAAAGCTTAGTGGGATCTGAACTACCATTTTCTTCAAAATTTAATAAAGGCTCCATTTGATATTTGCTTAAACTTGGAGTAGGAACTAATTTAGGAAGAAAACATTGAAAAGGATATAAATCCAAACTGATCATTAGATTTTGTTTTACTAGCCAGAATTACAAGCCAAGGAGAATATAGCTTAAAAGCACTGGGGAGGAGAATAATAGAGCCATGACAGCTACACAGTGACTAAATAATGCCATCTTGTAGTACACGTATTCCACCATTTATGCATGCTGCAGAGCATTTTCAAGATTAAACAAGTTTACTGCTCCTACTTCATCTCTCATGGATTAATTCAATGTAACAAGTCATGTTTTTCATTGGTTTCATTTAAGCCATCCCATATATATTAATATAATATGTACACATATACTTTTTTTTTTTTTTCTTTTTGTTTTTTACACTGATTCATAAGTTGCAGACTTGTGTAATTTTAGGGCATACAGCGGAAGCGCTGTGACAAGTGTTCTGTCTACAAGCCTCCCAGGACTCATCATTGCAGGTCTTGTAGAAGGTGTATTTTGAGGATGGTGGGTTTTGCTTTATTCTCTTTGAAATAACTAAACAATATGCAACTTCTTTTATTGGTTCAATTAGACATTCAAATTATTGCTCTTATTGTCAGTAAACATTGGATGCAGGATCATCACTTTATCTGGATAAATAATTGTGTTGGTCTTAGGAACTACAAGGCCTTCTTTGTGCTGGTGGCATATACAACCATGGCAAGCATTTATTCATCGGTAGGTGTGTTGTGGTTATAACATTCTTCTCACCCTCTCTCTATCTATATATATATATATATATATATATTGTATGTGCTTTATTTATTTATTTATTTATTTTTGGGGGGTGGGGGGTGGGGGTGTGCGGTTCTTTTATTTTCTTGGGAATTATGATGAAACTCTTTCTTAGGTTATAATTGTAAGCTGTGCTGTTCGCAAGGAATGGAATCCATGGAAAGCCCACGAAACCCTTCTTCTTAAACTCTTTTACGTGAGTCTCACAGCCGATCATTTATGACTAGTTTGTGTGGCAGTTGGTGTTAGAACTGAATAACTTGGTCCATTTCCCTTTGTATTTAGTGATTAAGCGGTTTTATGACTGAATGTAATTACACTGTAATTATTATTGTTTTTCACCTTTTTCGGTGGATAGTGTTTCTCACTTTGTTTTCTGTTTTATTTTATTCTCTTGTTTTTAGTCTCTTGTTTGGCTTACAATCCATGGTTTTTCATGTCTGGGTTGGGTTGATATAAAAAGCCTCTAAATTCTAACAAATCGAAGTTTTCAGATTCTCTCAGGAGTGGTAGTTGTTGGCTTAAGCATGACGCTGGGAACTCTCTTCTGCTGGCATGTCTACCTTGTTGTTCATAATATGACTACGATAGAGGTATATCCACAAGATCAATGTCTTTTTATTTTATTATTTATTTTAGACCATTGATAAAGATTTGCAATGGCTGGCTCTTTAAACAGCATTATGAGGCAATAAGAGCAGCATGGTTGGCTAAGAAATCTGGTCAAAGCTATCATCATCCTTTTGATGTTGGAGCCTACAAGAACCTTACTTTGGTAACCTTTCTATACTCTCTCCCTCTGCAGGAATTTGAATATTCTTTTTGCTCTTTTTGGTTTTTGGTTCTTGGTTTTAGTTTGTTGTTTTTGTATTTTTGTACTTTTGCGTTTCTCTAATATGGTAGCTTTTCATTCCAATCAGGTATTAGGTCCAAACATGCTGAAATGGCTGTGTCCTACTGCAGTCAGCCATATAAAAGATGGGATTACTTTTCCCACTGCACGTGATAGCTCATAATATTCATTTCCCTGCCTAAACTTTGCAAACAAATTCTAAAGTTTGTCTACCAGCCTTTGAGATACATTCTGCAGCAATGTTCTCAGCTTCAACCAGTTATTACTGCTAAAACCCATACTGAGATATCTATTTGCAGAACTTGTGCGTTCCATCCAAATGCTTTTGCACATGGTGTTAGGTCTTCTCATTCGCCGCTTCATTTTGCTCCACCTTTCTAATTATGTGTTTGCTTAAATTTAGACAGAAATTGTACATTCCTTTTGCTGCCAAATTAACGAAAATTTTTTATGTAAATATACTATTATGTGCCTCAATAATATATGTCTCCAAATACATAGAGGAACTTCATTTACTGAAAATGTTGTGTAGATGTTCTCTTGTATGTTGTTTATTTTTAGAATTAATTTTGGTAAATTTTACCAGTGTTGTCAATAATCACCTAATCTGTCTGCAATTTGATTTCTCTTGTTGTTTATAAATATCACTGTCAATTCCATCACAGGGATTATGTAACTGCAATCATGAACAGCTTTTCATTTTCCTTAGAAACGGGAGGTTACCTTTAGAATAGGGATTGGGTGGTTGCACAGCATATAGCACATGTGAATTTTTTCAGTTCATTTTTGTTGCTATTAATTTGTGATACCACATTGCTTTGGATTTCTATTAATATTGTATTATTCAATTGAAGATTTTCCACGTTAATATTAGGAAATAAGTCAATGAAGTGCTGCATTAGCATGCCATTTGCTTCAATGTAACCCAAACTACAGAAGTGCTTGGAATGTTTTATATAACAGTTTTTTGTTTTCGAGAAGAAAGGAAGCAAAAATTGTACCGAAAAATATATAGCAAATTGCTCTCCGAAACCACCTGGTTGGAGGATCTGGCGTGAACTGGGAAGTGCCCACAAGTGACTGATGCATAACTGAACTAAAACTTCTATGTAAAGTTTATTTTCAATCAACAATATACAGGAGATTAGTTTACATAGTTATGAACTTTCCACATATAGCCATATATTATTGAATCAAGTCATTTTAAGTGTCACAATTTGACAAATCAAATATCTACTCTCCCTTTGGATAAATGGAGTTGTAATGCACTTCGGCCCAGAAGCTCAAAAAAAATGTCTGCGCAAACAGAAATCACAAAATTTATCCTTCTGTCATCTCAATGATAAAATAACAAAGCGAGATACTGATGTTTTTCTGTTCTGTAACCAAAAAAGAACACAAATTAAATGCTGCAATCGATTGAAATCAATATGATTCTAAAGATAGAAGGGGACAGACGTAAACCCATTTGAACATGAAAGAGAACAGGGATTGAACTAAGCTAGTTGTATAAAATGGTCAAAGCATAATCTTTGAAAACGAGAAATGTTTAGGCTCATGACTTGCTTCTTCTGGACTTTTGAGTTTTTGGAAGAATCTCAGTGTAACAAGTATTCTTAAACGATGTCATGATAAATATCTTGATGCCATGCTGCAAAGAATTGTAAACAAGAGTTTATTCATGGTGGGACAAGCACTATACCATAAAGTGAGTCAGAAAGTGAAGAAAGCCAAACTTACATAAGTATCATGTAAAACACAATTCAGTAAATTAAACAGAGAGAGAGAGAGAGAGAGAGAGATTGGTGCTAATAGCGCTTCTGCAGCCTGCAATGTGACATGGTCACCCCACTCGCTGATCCTATAATCATTTCATCAGCAAATGTATATCAGCACCAAGAAGTTTTATTTAAACAAAAATGAAGGGGAAAAAAGGATGCCAAGATGATCATGGGAAAAGTGCTGACATACCTGCTCATAACGTTTCAAATAATAATCATAATCAATTGGAGCATAACCCTCGTACAACTCCTGATGATCTCTGAGCTGTGACATTTATGCATTGTAGACAAAAAGCAAATAAATTTTGAAACAACTGGACTGCACCTGCATTAAGAGAAATATTTTAATGTGTACAAGTCATGTTTGTCTCTGAACCTAAAACATGAACTTACCTGCTCGACAACTTATTGTCTTACAAATGCATGGTGCTTGGTGGTACGATAAATTTGGTCGAATAGAGCATGGAAATGAGAAATGAGAGCACATGAGATCATATGGAAAGGATACTAAAATTAAAAAGAGAGTCTCTCTAGCATAATATCAAGTTTCAAGATATAGAAATATTTTTATGAAAAACACTTATATTTTTCAACAAAAAGGATGCGTAATTGTGCAGACTAATGAACAGAATCACTCATGGTTCCCTGTCAAAGCATTCAGCAAGTGAAATGCAGTGCCGACAAGGGCTACCAACCTAACAGTTTCCATCTCCTTGACTTTGAGCTCAACCAAATCATACAAACATAATCTGAAAAGATCAGAATTTCAGTTACGAAGAAATAATAATCCGAAACAATTTCAGGTGCATGTAAAAAGAAATGGAAAAAAAAAAAGTTTATGTTCTCTTGAGATCATTTGCAAGATATGCATTCGAATGTTGTCAGCACTCAACATGCAAACAAGGTTGCCGCATTATTAATTAAAGAACAAGGAACTGGGGTGAACAGAAATGTTCGTTCCCGGATCTATAAATTGGCTAGGTTAGTGTTGGATAGAAGGCATCCATGAAAGAACTACTAAATTGCTTTAACTTTTCAGACACCAGACAAATTTGGGAAGGAGACACGTATTACAGTTCAAAGATACGTTTATTCATAAGCTTGAAGGGAAATTTCAACTCATCATCATGACAAATTTTTTTTACTTCATAATACATAAATACATATTTCCTTAAAGGAAGTCTAAAAAATGTAAGGTTTTCTTACCATCTGAGTGGTGCTACTAAAGACAGCCTATGCAGGCAGGCAATCGGCTAGAATTTTCCCTTTTTTAAAAAAAAAGGTGAAAAAATGTAGATCAGAACAGGAGAAGAAAAAAAGAAGTACTCCCAGGAAGAAAATGGCAGTAGGCGAACATAAAATAGACAGAGGATATGGGTAAAAATGTGATTAGATACCTGTTAAGCAACCTTCGATGACCTGGTAACAACTATAAAAATATTGCTTCTAGCCAGGATGCCACTTAACAAAGTAAATGGTGAACACAGTTTACAAGCTTTGTTAATCTTTCACAAATTATACCCTTCCATTTCTTATACATAAATAGGGTGATATAAAAGAAACATCATGCATTTAGAAATGCAAGCTCAATAAAGTAACAATCATCTAATATAAGAAAGCATTCCATCACCTTAGAAACATCTGAATAGGGTAATAATATAAGATCCCTCACGCATGTAATATACCCACATCCATAGTTGACGGATCCAATTCAACTTATTTCTGTCCTCACTCTAAGGAAGCTTAATTAAAAGCATCATTATTATCGATTAATATCTACAGGCATAGCCGATCATAAACATACGACTGGACAAGCAAGATATGACCTTCCAATAATTTATTAGAAAGGAATTTTCAGTTAAAATTTCAAGGCAGTATTGACTCCGAAGTAGCTGCACTTACAGGAATAGGATACATCTGATTGAATCGCTTGCCTACTTCCCCATCAAGAGTAGACTCACTTGCCTACTTCCCCATCATGATTTTTCTGTGAAGATTAATCGTGATAGTTTGTGAATTCAGAAGCGGATGACGAATTCGACCTTTAACTTCTTTGTTCGGGTAATCAGTTCGAGATAATCAGTAACTGAAGTTTTCATTTGAATAAATAAGAAGACATGAAATTAGATCGTTGTTTTTGCAGGGCAGAGCCGTTGGGCAAAACAAACGACGATGTATATCCATCATCAGCTAGACCCTAATGTTAATCATTGGGGTCTCCCTCTTCTACATGCTTTCATACATCTACAGGTGATTCGCCTTACAGTATTCATTACGCTGGGGATTTATCTCAAGTTGAACGTGTTCAAGAAGGTTACAGTGAGACAAACCATTATGAAGGGGAGAATGATGAAATAATTGCACGTGCTTTACAAGAAGAGCTATCACGACTAGCAGCTGTTGAGGCATCTGAATCTTTATCCGCTGTGGAAATACATTTTCAGGCTTCCTTTCTTGCTCAGGATTGGCGAGGTCCATCAAGTATACATGGTAGTTTAGATAACAGAGAGAATCCGCTTGCTACCTTTTTAATTTATTAACAAATTGTCAAATTCTCTCATTTTCTTACTGATTTCTTCCAGTACTCGCCTCCCTCAAAACACACACTGCGTGTGCAAAAAAGGCAAAGTAAAAGACTCTGTACAGCAAATATTGAACAAAAATTCACGCAATATGTCGTCGAAATAATGAAATTTCTTATGTTCCAGGCTCAAAGATTAATATAATTCAAACAAGCTTCAGAAAGTCAAACGCTCTGAAAAGGGAAGAGTAAAGGAGGAAATACGTACTCAGAAATATCCAAGAACTGATGCCAATCAGTTCCAAACAAAAATCCGAAATCAACCGAATAACATAAAATAAACGAGCAGAGAGAGTCCACCTCCGTGGAAGTATAAAACACTCAAATTTTATACCATACACTGAATGGTTTACATGGTGTCCTATTATAGGAGAACTAATCTTAATTCTAATAGAAAAACTAATCCTAGTAAAATTGTAATACATTTTTAAAGATAATTATATGATAAAAATAAATCCTAGTCTAGGATAATTATAATAATTATTTTAACACATTCCTTAAATTGATAACTACGGAAATCAATTTAAAGAGATGTTCTTAGTTGAAATCATCCCAATTCTTGATCGAAATTTCACGAACACATCTTGTTTGAGGGGTTTGGTCATAATGCCTGCAACTTGTTCACCACTTGGACAAAACATAAGATTGATCACTCCACTATTGCACTGGTCCCGCAAAAAGTGATAATGAACATCAATGTGTCTGCTTTTCCCATGTAATAGTGGATTCTTGGAAATTTTGATTGCTGAAGTATTATCACAAAAGATTGTAGTTGGTCCCACTTGCCTGTTTTGAAGTATTTCCAACAACTTTCTTAACCAGATAGTTTGACCAAAATATGTTGTTGCAGCAACGTACTCTACTTCTGTAGAAGATAAAGTAACTATCTATCGTTTCTTTGATGACCAAGAGATTGCTCCAGAACTCATAATGAATACAAAACCTAATGTACTTTTTCTGTCATCAATATCTCTAGCATAATCACTATCTGTAAAGCCTAGAAGTAAATCTTCATTATCTCCTTTCTGATAAAGGATTCCAAGGTCAATTGTACCTTTCAAGTATCGCAGAATTCTCTTGACAACTAAGAGATGATTTTCAGTTGGACTTTCCATATACCGGCTTATTAAACTAATACTATACATAATGTTCGGTCTTGTTGCAGTTAGGTACATTAAACATCCAACCATCTGTTTGTAAAGTGTGGGATTCACCTTTTCCCTTCATAATCTCTTTTGAGCTTGAGACTGTATTCAGTGGGTGTGCTAATAGGATTGCAGTCCTACATTTGGAATCTATCCAAAATCTTAAGGACATATTTTCTTTGTGAAATAAAGATTCCAAGTGATGATTGAAAAACTTCAATGCTAAGAAAGTAATGCATCAAATCTAGGTCTGACATTTCAAATTATGACATCATATTCTCTTTGAATTCAGTAAGCATACCTTTGTCATTCCCAGTGTAGATGAGGTCATCCACATACAGACATACCATAAGTATACTTC